ATTTAAACTTAATCCAGTTAAAATAGGGACCAAAAAAAAGTCGTTGGCCTACAATCAGGGAGAGACTGACCTACCCAGATTATGAGGTTGACTTGATGAAAAGACTCTTAACCACAGGACCTCAGATAAAGAATAGTTAGATAAGAAGGAGCCCTGGTGGTATTGTTAGGTGTACTTTCAGAATGAACTATCAGAATAATCATGCGTTCATTTGAAACTTAGTGGTGGCACCACATAGTGTCTGATTTGCATATGTTGAATATGAGGTGGTCTAGGAAGAAAAGCTTTTGCCCTTGTATATGACTTACAGATGTCTGTGTGTGTGTGTGTGTGTGTGTGTTTGCACGTACACACGCCTGTGTCTGTGTCTGTGTTTAAGCCTCAGGTTACTTGGATACCCACACATTTAGGGAAATTATGCTTAAGTTTGGTGTCTTAGAGAATTTAAATTGGTGGTACAAAGAAAAATTTCCCAAGAGCCAGTGGAATCCTAAGGCCCCATATTTGGAGGGGACATGGAACTGCCTTTTAGAATGTTTTCCATTCCCTCTCATATACAGAGATAGTTCATGAAGGAGTTCACTCCTTTATCCTTAATATAGAGATCTTTGAAAGGAAATGGCAGAAGAAAGCTGCAACTGTGATTTTCTTTTGATAGTATTTTTTTTTCTATGTAGTAAAGCTTCCCAAGTTTTTGTGAAGGGACTTCTAGAATTCTGAAGACAATTATAGTTTCCAAAAGCATTCTTGCAAGCAGTTTTGCACACCAGGACCTAAACTGTGAGCTGTCGAGTTTTGCAGACAATGCTACAACCTTCAAATTTTCCAAGGAATCTTTCTCTGGGAACAAAGAGCACAGTTTTCTTCTCAAAGGGTGTGTGTGAGGGAGACTGTGAAAGACAGCCCATGCCCCAGGGAGGATAACTTGCAAATATCCTCTAAAACATCTGGGTAGGAGATTCAGCAACACTAGCTGAAAAATTCAGTTACCAAGAGTAAAAGTACAAGGAACCAGGAGTAAAGAAAATGACATAAAAGTGAATGCCTTCAGTATGGGTAATGCCCCACTTCAGTATGGCAGTGGGGGCCAGAGATGGAAAGTCTCTGACTGCCTATAGATAAGGCCAGTTTTCCATGAGAAAAGTAAGAGTTGTTTTCAAGGCCTATTTTTAACTTGAACATTGGCTTCAGAAAGAAAAAAGGTGGGGGTGGAACTAGCATTTGTTGCATCAGTTGTATGCAATTGTATGCAATCTGTGCTGTCCTACTGAATCCCTAAACAAAAATGGGAGGCATGTAATATTTTCCCCATTTTGATTGTAAAGACAATGGATGAGAGAGGGTGAGAACAGTTGTAGCTGGTGTTTACAGCCAGGCATACACACCAGCCCACCATACTGCTCCCTGTGTCAGATGGGCTCAGGGGAAGAGCGAGTGCAGCAAAAGGCAGCATTAATCTTCAGAATCTCGGGCCAGGCTGCCTGCCAAAAGAATTTTTTTCCACTGAGCCAATGTCAGTTTCTGAAATTTCACCATAACGTTACCCTCTCCAGTTCCACCTTTATAACTTGAAATATGATCCTATAAAAAGGGAAGAGTGAGTTCTGTGCATTACAGAAAAGGAACAGAGTTGGGGCCTGAAGAACAATGGAAACACCCTTACCTATTTTTATTTAACCAAAGGTCGGTTTTGCCCTCAAAAATGACATTATAATCTGGCTTTTTAAAACTGGGAGTGCAGCAATGTTGACATCCCACAGGATAATAATAATAGTTACCACGTATTAGGTAGAAGCAAATTAAACTGCCAATTATTGCCATCTAATAGGCTGGCCTCCCATGACAATTTTGTGTGGTTCACCTAATACTGAGTTCTCAGAGTTCGTAAGTTAGGTATGGCCACACCCTGTATATCTTAATTCATTCAGTCTTCACAACTTGTCTATAATGAAGTTAATGGGAGCCTCAAGTTATAAGTAAGGCATTTGCTGCTCTCTGGAATTAGGTTGTAATTCTAGCTTCTATATCCAAGCTGACATGGTGCAAGACAGGAAAGGTATGGGGAAAGTACATTTGCCTTGGAGTAGATGAAAGATAAAGACAGAGGCTCCAGAGAGTTATGGGGCTACCTTCATGATTCCAGCAAAAGAGCTAATTCACTTCCTCAGTGACCTCTACAGTCACGAACTTAAAGGATGTTACCTTATTTGACCTCTCAGAAGCATTCAATATCCTGTCCTTTTAGAAAAACCATTTGGAGTACCTGAGTGGCCCAGTAGCTTAAGCATCTAACCCTCAATTTTGGCTGAGGTCATGATCTCATGGTTTGTGAGTTCAAGCCCCATGTAGGGCTCTGTGCTGGCAATGGGGAGCCTGCTTGGGATTCTTTCTCTCTGCCTCCCAGCTCATGCTGTCTCTCCAGCTCTTGCTCTCTCTCCAACTAAATAAACTTAAAATATATATGAAACAAAAAAAAAAAGAAAAGAAAACCCTTTCTGTTTTCTTTCATACTACTGTCATGTTTAGTTAATGTGGTTGTGTGGAGTTGTTTGGTTTTGGGGGGGGTTTGTTTGTTGTTTGGCTTTTTGTGTTGGTGGTGGTGGTGGTGGTGGTTTGGGGTTTGTGTTTTTTTTTTTTCCTTTTTGCCTTGCCTGCTTTGCTGCTCTTTTCTCATCAAAGCTCCATCTTAGACATTCTTCTCTTTTCTCTCTGTATTTTCTTATGGGGTTGTCTTATCCAAACATTCAGTTGCTGTATATGCCTAACCCCTAAACATTTATATCCAGAGCCCTGTCACCCACTTTTAGCCTAGATCTATATATTTAAATATCTACTTTACGTCTCAATTTAGATATACCATAGGCACCTCACCCAAGTCCAAAACCAAGTTTGTTATCTTTCCTTTAGGAACCTCCTCCAATATATGCTATCGTAGTTAAGAGCATCGTTGTCTAGTTCCTGAAGTACTTTCAACCTAAGTGCTTTTGTTGCTGTTGTTGTTTACTCCTCTCTCCACCATGATTGTTGCTACTATCATACAAACATCCATCATGACTTACCTGAGCTGATTTAATAGCCTCCTACAGGACTCTGTCTTTGTTTTATCCCTTCTAATATTTCCTGCATATTGCAGAAAAAAGAAACATAAATATTATCACATCACATTCCTTTCCTTTCAAAATTTTCCATACCTTCCTGCTGTTGTAAGGACGTGCTCATTGTACACCACATCCCCATTACCTCTGTGTTGGTCTGCTCAGCTGCTAAGGAAAATGACTTGTACAAAGGCCCTACAGTAGTAAATAACTTCCAGATTCTTGACCATGCCATTTTCTCTCCTACCACAGGGCCTTCACACAAGTTGCTTCCTCTCGCTGGACCACTCTCCCTATCCCCACTACCCTTGCCTATACTTCAGATCTCTGATCTCTGGTTTCTGTGAATAGGTCAGTTTTTCATACTATACGCTTCTGCAACATTATATACCTCCTTATTACAACATTTACTACAGTCAGCATTTCATATCATTGCCTTTATTTGGATTGGGATAGGAAATTGAAGTTTATAAACTTCATATTAGAAGTGGCTAAAATTAAAATCAAATCCAAGATTGCCAGACTTCCAGCTCTTTGCTCCTTACATCTCACTATGCTAGGTCTCATGTGACACTCTATGAATCAACAACATTGATAGTGCCATCACTGTAGCTACACCTGGGTCTATAAATTCACTCACAGTCTTTGGAGTTTTAATTTCACTCTTGATTTAAACTCAGAATTGATTTTGTGCATTTCCCCAGGCAATATTTGACTAGCTTCAAATAAGAACAAAAACAGTACATAGATTTTATGTGGAAATCATTCAGTTTAGTGGAGATTCTTATTTTTTTTGTTTTAATGGGTATTATTATGCATCATTTTCATAATTCTTTTTATTGGCAGAGGCAGGGTGGGAAGATTATCCTATGCAAGTCATGCTTATTCCATTATAGTCATCAACTCACAACAATTAAGGGAGATGAAATTCTCCATAGTTGGTACAACTACTTATTTGTTTCTAAGTTCAATTGGAAAATTTAATGAGCTTATAAATGTGGGGATGGAAAGGATGACATTCTTTAAGATGGCAGTATGCCCAAAGAAGGTCTCAGTGACACATTTTTTTAATTCCTTTAATCTGAATCTTTCCAAATTAAAAGTCAACTAAGGCTTGCCAGGGCCACATAGATTGTCCCTCTCCATTTATTCAGAAATTACATTTAATTTCTGGTTTTGATACTTCAGTCTGAGTAAAATGGAAATAGAGCCTAACTCAGGAGTGAAGAGGGGATCATTCTTCTAAATCATTGTTTCCTAGTATGCTTCTGCAGGAAGAAGGACTAAAACTGTACAGCCATATTTAAAGAGAGGTTATGGTGCATGGTCTTAGGGAAGAAAAAGAAAAAGAAGAAAGAAAATAAGCCCTAGAAATCAGACTCTGTGTTATAGGCTTTCATCCAGGTCTGTTGTGCCTGATATCCATTTGCCTAATTAAAGACAAATTACTGCAATTGACTTTGCTGTTAGAGGAACATCACAAGTCATGGACTCATTTCAGCTGGCTCTGGAAGCTCCTGGGTCATTTTGCAAGAACCCCAGAAAGTCATGGTATGGGGAATGTAGCCTAGTTTTCTGGCTGTGAATTGGCATCAGCACTGAGTGAAGCTAGGCCAGAACATAAAACTAAGCAGTGCACCAGTGTAGGCAGGGAGTGTGTTGAGAACAATACTCAGATCCAGCACACAGAGTGTCTTCCTACAGCCTGATCAGATGACCTGAAAATCACCCAAAAAAGCCAGAGACTGGAAAATAGATGGTATGGAAAAGAAAATGAACAATGAGAGTATCTACATGTCTGTAGATCATGCTACAGTATTTTCTGAGACCTTGGAATACATGGCTTCACCATTTTTCCTTATGATATTTTGCCCTCTGAAAGGACTTTGTGAGTCCAGAGTCGCAATGAGAAGGCCAGGTTTGAATGGGAAAGTCCCACTGAGAGGAGCCAGGTGTAGATTTCAGGAATGCATAGGGTCAGTTCCTGGTGGTCAACGTAGGAAAGGAGGATGTGTGGGAAGCCTAGGAGGACATGGTGTGGATAAAGGAGAAGTAGTAAACCTGAAAAGCTTCCCCAGGTGAGAGTCGATGTATCATGTACAGCTTAAAGCAGAAAATCCCTATAAAGGCAGAAGTATCTACTTATTCACTTGGCAATAAGTCTTATGGTATCACCTGTGTAAGAAGCACTGCACTAGGTGATGAGGAAATAGTAGTGAATCAAACACATAGGTCAACAAAAACATGGCCCCTTGCACCAATGAAGCTTACAGTGCAATGCAAGAGTTTTTAAACTAATGCCCCTCAATTTGAGTAGACATTTAAAGGACAAATATAAGAATAATATTTAGGAGACAGAAAGAGAGTAGTACATATAAAGACTCTAAAGAGCTGAATGTAAACATTTTTTAAAAAGGTTGGGGGGAAGGGGTACCTGGGTGGCTCAGTCGGTTGAGCGTCTGACTTCAGTTCAGGTCATGATCTCATGGTTCGTGGGTTCGAGCCCCGCATCGGGCTCTATGCTGACAGCTAGCTCAGAGCCTGGAGCCTGTTTCAGATTCTGTATCTCCCTCTCTCTCTGACCCTCCCCTGCTCATGCTGTCTCTTTCTCTCTCAGAAATAAATACAACATTTTTTTTTAAAAAAAAGAGCTGAATGTTAGGCATGGTAGAAGAAAGAGACTAGTTGGTATGGGTGGACAATGTTGTGTCAGCCACATATGTCTTTTAATATTATGTATATACTTACATATTCTCCTTATTCTTTTGTCCCTCAAGATTAATATTTTGCTATTGTACCTGACATAAAATACAATAGTTATCTAAAATTTATCATTTGTTACATTTTGACATAAATATTTATCATTAAAACATCATCATATTTGAGACAATGAACATATCCATAACTCCCCAAATTTTTTTATATCGCTTTGTAGTCTCATTCCTCCACTCCTCCCTACTCCTGACTCCAGATATCTACTTACATGCTTTCTGCTACTATGGGTTAATTTACAATGTCCAGGATTTTATATAATTGGAATAATTCAACAGGTACCTTTTCTTGTCTGACTTATTGCACACAACCTAGTTATTTTGAGATTCAGGTGTAGAATTGCTTATATCACTAATCCATTCCCTTTTACTGTTGAGTAAGATTCCCTCGTAGGGCTATACCACAATTTTTTTTAATCCATTTACCTCCTAATAGGCTTTTGGATTATTCTAGTTTTTTTTAATTTTTTTTGCTATTGCAAATAAAGCACTATGAATTTTTAATATACATAATGAACATATGCTTTCATTAGTCTTATGTAAATACCTAGGAATGCAATGGCTGTGTCATAGGTGGTTATGTGTTTAACTATATGAAACTATTTTTTAGTGGTTATACCATTTTTCATTTCTATCAGAAATACATGAAAATACAAATTGTTCATACCCTTAGTACGGCCAGCCTTTAATATTACTCATAGTAGTGATGCCTTATATCTCATTATGGTTTATTTTTCAATTCTTTATGACTAATGTTGTTGAGTGTCTTTTTACGTATTTACTATCTATATATATTGAAGAAATGTTCATTCAAATATTTTGTCCATTCTTAAATTGTGTTTGTCTTCTTATTATTGAACAATAGAAATCCTTACATATTATAGACACAGTCTATTGTTGAGTACATATTTTGCAGGGTTTTTTTCCCCCAAGAATTGCCCTGGGTTTTTCCTTTCCTTTTATTTTCATTTTTTCATTTTCATAATGGTCTTGAAGATTAAAAATTGTAAATTTGGACATAGTTCATTTAAAAAATTCTTTTAATGTTTATTTACTTTTGAGAGACAGCAACAGGGCATGAGCCAGGGCAGGACAGAGAGAGAGGGAGAGAGAGAAGCAGAACCTGAAGCAGGCTGTCAGCATAGAGCCTGACGTGGGGCTCAAACCCCCAATCCATGAGATCATGACCTGAGCCAAAGTTGGACACTCAGCTAACTGAGCCACCTAGTCACCCCATAGTTCATTTTATTGATTTAAAAATTTTTATAGCTCCTATCTTTTGTGTTACAGTTAAGAAATCTTTGTCAAACCCATGATTACTAAGATTTTCTTGCATGTTTTCTTCTAAAAGTTTCATAGTATGAAATATTATATTAAGGTCTATTATTCTTCATGAATTTATATTTGAAGAAGGTATGAAGTTTGGGTCAAAGTTTATTTTAGTGGCCATGGCTATACTATTATGACAATAACATTTTTTGAAAATCTCCTTTCCCATTGAATGCCTTGGCATCTGTATCAAAAATCAACTGGCCACAAATGTTTGCATATATTTCTGGACTCTTCTGTTTGTTTCATTGATTTATCTGTCTATAAATAGGCCAATACCATATTGCCTTTATTACTATAGCTTTATAATAAGTGTTTGGATAAAGTAGTTTGACACCTTCAGTGTTGTTCTCTTAGTTGTAAATAAAATCTTTTGGCTACTCTAGATCTTTTGTATTTCCATAGAACATTTAGAATCATCTTATTGGTTTCTAAAACAGCAAAATGCCTCCTGAGATTTTAAATAGAATTTAATTCATTCTATCCATCAAATTGAGAAGAATTGACGTCTTAATAATATTGAGTCTCTTAATTCATAAGCATGTTTTTATCTCTCTATTGATTTTGGTTTTAAATTATCTCAATAATATATGGTAAATTTCACTGTATAGACCTGGTATATCTTTTGTCAGATATATCTCTTTGTACTTTATATATTTTGATGCTTCTCTAAATGATCATTTAATTTCAATTTCTGATTACTTGTGGCTATTAAATAGGCATACATTTAATTTTTGTATTGTATATTCTCCAACTTTATATCCTGAAAGCTCACTAAGCTTACTTATTAGTTATATTAGCTCTTTGTAGATCCCATTAGCTTTTCTATATAGATGTTCATGTTGTCTGAAACCAAAGATCATGTTTCTTCTACTTTCCCAAAATTTCCCCTCAAAATTTCTTCCCAAATATTTCTATTTTTGCCTTCTTCCATTGACTAAACCTCTAGTACAGTGTTGAACAGAAATGGTAAGAGTAGATATTTTTGCTGTATCTTCCCCTGATCTTAGCCGAAAAGCATTCAGTCTATTACAATTAGGTAATGATTATTTATAGATACTCTTTATCAGGATGAAGAAGTTCCTTTCTAAGTTTTTGAGAGTTTTACTAAGGAATAAATAGATTTCATTAAGTAATTTTCCCCTTTATTCTGATAATTAAATAATTTTTTTCTTGACTTTTAAAATTTTGAACCACATTGATAAGTTTTACAATATTACACCAACCTTACATTCCTTGTATAAACCCCACTTGGTCACAATGTGTTACTTTTAACCTCTTATTGGATATTATTTTCTAAAACTTGTTAAAAATTCTTGCATATCAATGTAGGATATATGTCAATAAGTTACTTTCTTTTTATGTCTTTGTTTGGTTTTGGTATAAAGATAATGCTGGTATCATAGAAAGAATTGTAATGTTTTCCCTTTCCTTCAAATTTAAGTGATGAGAAGACCCCAGGATGACAGAGGAGAATGGGATGTGAGGAATTAGTCTTTTTTCCAATTAAGTCATTCTCAAGTTTTAGTGTGCATGCTAAACACCTGAAACTTTCATTTAAGTAAAGATTTTCATTTAGAAGGTCCAAAATGGATACCATACCATGTTGGCATTAACAACAACAAAAAAATCCTACCTTGTTCTTACATGATTGATTCAAGTTCTGGAGATTTTTAGTTTATTCAGTGGCTCCCAAATATGTTTCAGAGAACAGCAGCACCATAATCACCTTGAAACTTTTAAGAAACTGCAAATGTTCTGTCCCCAGTTCATACCTGCTAAATCAGTAACTCTGGGAGAGAAAGTAGGTGGCCATCTGTCCTTAAGCAGCTCTCAAGTTGACTCCAATACACAGTAAAGTTTGAGAAGTACTGCATGCACTATGTTAAGAAACAAAAGGAATAGATACAGATGCACTTAGTTTTGTATATTTTGTGTTATGAATAGAGATTATTTATAGTATGCTGACTTCCTTCTCTTTATAACATATATGGAAGATCTGAAAGTGAGGGAAGGGAGAGTAAGTCAAATGTTTCAGTAGTATGCTGAAGTTATGGGTAATCATTAGGAAAATGTAGAAGCAGGCTGATGCAATTGTTAGTCACTATCAGATATCTACTTAAGTAATGCTGTTGTCAACTTGTATTGATGCCCTTCTTCCCAATTGTACAATCTTCTCCCCCAATTCTGAGCTGCTAAGGGCGAGGTATGAAGAAGGCAGTTTATTGGGTTTGTATGCAGTTATTTTGCCAAATGGGTAAAAGGGAAGGAAAAAGAGATATAGTAGTTGGGAGCATTTTCAAGAGAGTGAATGACTGTAATCATGGATCATAGTCTGTTTTGTATAAAGAAAGAAAATGAAGACAAGAGGAGGATAATTAACAGAAAGTTCTGAGATCTATAGATAAAAAGGTCTTGATGAGCTGGAAGATCTGTCTCAGTAGACATGTTTCAGAAATGATCTGGGGGTGTTAATGGTAATGGCTAAAAAGTAGCATGCTTATGTTTGAATTCTTTATATTTTGTTTTTATTTGTGTGTGTGTGTGCGTGTGTGTGTGTGTGTGTGTGTGTGAGAGAGAGAGAGAGAGAGAGAGATAAGAAGCTATCAGATATGACCTTGGTAACAGAGGTTGAGATTACTGTTGCCAGATCATTGGTATTGAGGAAGTCAAGAATTGGGTGAATAAATATTCACATACAAATTGAAGTTCTCTTTCATTAGTGATGTCAATCATAGTAGTGGATGGATGAATGAGAGACAGACAGAGAAGGACCAAATCAGAAAATACTATCACATAAAATAAATTAGAAGTCATCACTGGCACAGGAAAATTCTGATGGACACATATTTGTGTCTCTGGAAGATATTTTTGGGCCCCAATAGAATCTCAAAAATGTATGTCCCAGTATGTGGTAAATTTATGGAATGTCTCTTGATAATAAGATTCATAATTATATCTGTACATATACAGAAATATACATGCATATTCAAAAAATAACAACCAGCTAGCCTGTAGACAATTGCAAAGAAATTGAATCATAATAACTTCCTTATGTTTTTCTATTCATGACAGGAGCAAAAATGTTTGCTCCGAAAAGCTCCTACCAACTCAGAAGTACAGGATGAAAGTGGTCTCCGCTGTACCCTGCTAACATCCATTCTAATTCTGTTTTTCAAATTCACAGAGAGTGAAGAAGTTTATCAAAGGCAGGTGCTGTCAATTTCATGTATCATCTTTGGAATTGTCATCGTGGGCATGTTCTGTGCAGCATTCTACTTCAAAAGCAAGTAAGACCATTTCTCTCAAGTGTTAAAAGGTTACTTCTCAGAGAAAGCACTTTGTCTGTCTTTAATTCCATAGTCTCTGCTCCAGGCAATGGGGCCCATCAAACATCTATAAATGACTTAGTGTCTTTTATAGACTATGAGGAATATATGCAGCATGTGCATACATGCATTATGTGTGGTTTACCTTTGGTGCATATAGCAATCATTCCTTTCTATGATCATGAACACTCTATGTTCTTTGCATTTTTTTGATAATCTGCCAGAAGTAAAGGCTCACTGTCCTCCTGCCACTAAAGGGTTAACACTTCTGAGCAGAGAATTCACTGGAGTAGACCTAAATATTATCAACAAATATCTAGCCTTTTCTGCAAAAAGAACTCCATACTTTCCCTCTCATAGTATTTTTACCTGATATCCATAAAGGTTTCAGCCAAATGTGAAATGTGAATACTATAAGATCTACCTTGGTTCATCGGTTGGTAAGCATATCTCAAATACGCCCTATACTTCCCTTGTTAAGAAGCTAAAATTTCTGCGGCACCTGCCTGTTCAATTGGAAGAGCATGTGGCTCTTGCTCTCAGGGTGGTGAGTTCGAACCCTACATTGAGTGTTGGGCTTAAGTATTTACTTAAGTAAATAAATACATAAACTTGAAAGAAAGAAACCAAAACTTCTACTTAAGGTGCTTATTTTCTTATTTTTGACTAATAAAGTATAATAAAATATATACATGCCTAAATAGGCATACAAATATATTTATTCCAGGGGCACCTGGGTGGCTCCGTTGGTTAAGCATCCGACTTCAGCTCAGGTCATGATCTCACAGTTTGTGAGTTGGAGGCCACATTGGGCTGTATGCTGACAGCTCAGAGCCGGGAGCCCGCTTCAGATTGTGTCTCCCTTTCTCTCTGCCCCTCCCTCATTCGCATTCTGTCTCTCTCAAAGATAAATAAACATTAAAAATAATTAAATATATATTTATTTATTCCAAATGAACTTTGATAAAGGTATTTTATTTATGGAAATTTTATTTAAGTCATGCAAGCCTTAAGAAGTTGGCACCGATTCTGTGCCTACAGCTTGTCTGAAATGCAAGCCAATCTGTAATTGCTTTTCATTGGACCTATATTTGTCTGCCCGTTTGCTCTTCTAAAAATGTATCCATTTCCAGATATAGTCTCTGACACCTGTCTGCATGTTGTATATGTTGATCTTTAAAAAGAACAGCAATTGTGATTTTAAAAAATAATAGAAACTCGGGTATGAATCCATAATTAGTAACTATTATTTTTTAATAAACTATTTGAGAATAGGCTTAGGTTTTCAGAATTACTGTGAAAATAGTACAGATAGATCCCATATATCCCAGACCCAGTTTTCCCCTAATATTAATGTCTTATATTAGTATGTTGCATTTGTCACAATTAATGGAATAGTATTAATACTATATAATATATATATAACTATAATATATTACTAATTAAAGTTCATACTTTCAGATTTCCTTGGTTTTTATTTAATGTTCTTTGTTCTAGGCCCCCATTATATTTAACTGTCACATCTCCTAGGCAACTTTTGGCTGTGACAGTTATTAGTGTTCATTTTTGAGAACTTAACTCTTTGTCAGGGACACTGGGCTTTTCATGTATTATCTCCCAATTCTCACAACTCAAATTGTTCCTTACTGCTGCATTGTTCAAATAATAACAGAATTTAATTTTAAAATACTAATTTGTCAAAGCCACACAGTAGGAAATTACAGATGGGGTCTTTGCATTTCTGCAGGTCTAGGTGAAACACTAGAACCACACTCTAAACCACTGTACCACACTGGGTCCCACAGTCCTCCTACTAGATAGTAGAAAGTGAAACAGCTAAGAGTGAATCAGGAATAGGCCCGGTGCAGCCCATCATGCTTTGCGTCCTCTAGAAAGCTTACATGGTGTATGGTCAGTATTTTACATGTGTCACTCCTACCTATATTCAAAGCATCATGCTGCCCCTTGCTTGTTACGTATTATTAGGCAAATTACATCTAGTCCTTTAGCCTCAGATTCCTCTTTTGGTGAAGTACGGCCAAAAATAATATTTACCTTATAAAATTTGTTAGAGATTCATGGGATAATACTGCAATAGAGCACAGCACAGTGTTCAAAAGAGTAAATACTCAGTGAGGACTTGCTATCGTTAACACCCACGGTTTTCCACACTGGAACTCAGAGGCTGGGTAACTACGAAGCGAAGAGCGAGCACTGGCACAAGAGGGGTAATCACACGCTGCAGGGCCTTAGAAGGGTCTCCTCGCAAGTGCTGTGTACAGGAAAGAAGTTGTATGTTTCACAAAAAGCAAATTGCTAACAAGTGGTAGTTAATCACTCAGTTTTAGAGTATAATTTGTATTTGTGACACATTTAAATGAAAGACTGTTTATGACAATCACAAGAATGGAGAGCTGCTGGGTCGCCAGGGGACCTCCATATTCAGGGCTGTCAATCTCTCCCTCTCTAGGCAGCACGTGGGCTCGGAGACGAACACCTCCTCCTGGAGCCCCGTGCAGTGTCAGGGTTTAATGAAAACACTGTTCCACATCATTCATTATGGGGGACGCAGAGAACTGAGCCAGTGGAGGAACACTAATCAGAATGTTGTCTTTCTGCTGCCCAGCTGGGACACATTTTTATTAAAAATTAAATAAATAAGAAAATGTGGGAATAATAAAGTAATAATAAAAATTGAAGCCTTTTCCAAGTGGAGTTATATTTCTCATTAGAGACCTAGAGTGTATTTCCTTCTAGCATAATCTCTAGGCAGGGTCTTCATTTATTTTTCTTTGCCAGAGAGGAATACTATACCACACACCAAGCGTCTAATCTATATAGCTGAAAGCAATGTAAATTTTTATAACACATTGGCACGTGTTTCTTTGCACTTGTTCCTGAAATTCTAATTCTCATCACCAGATCTTGGGGATAACAGCACAGACAGACTCCAACTCAAACTTTCCTTACTTTCACACATGCTGTAAGGTTGCTAACATGTGTGTCATTTGTTTGACTTCATCTTGGAAGTTCCAAGTCTTTATGATTCTATGACCTCTCCATCCTTGGTTTCTAAGTAAATTCACTGAAACCAGCTTTCTATATACTGGGATAGAGAGGTCCCAGCCAGATAAAGTCAAGAGTTGTGTAAAAGCTCAATTTCTTGGGGTCATTGATATTTTAGTTCCCATAATCTCTCAGATGCCACTGTGGTCCTTTGTCCATTGTCTTGAACCCTTGGTTTGGCATGACCTCGCCACATGGAATATTACAGCAGATTCTTACTGGATAAAAGCTTGAAGGTGGTTAACATGATGAGGTCAAAATGATGAACACCTTCTTGGTTTAGAGGATTTCCTAAGTTAATTGAACCTCAACAACTCTAAAGGACACAGCAAAAGAAATTCTCTTCTCATCATGTCCAACAAGCCCATATATTCTCATAAGTGATTAACGGAAGTATTAGTGGAGCTATTCAAATCTGGCTGATAGGGCTCACATGGTAACTATAAATTCTTCTAGGTTTCTTTTTACATTCAAATCCTATGGGTAAGAAGAGTAAAGCTGCCTCTAGGAGTCCTTAGTAGACTTTGGAAATGCAAGACACAATTTAACTCTAAAAAATAGAATTGGGATGAGAGAAATGTTCCAGGAGACAGAAGCTGAGACAAATAATAATCACAGCTGAGAAAAACAGAAGGAAAAAGAACTGGAGCTACCAGTAAAAACCAGCTTACTGTAGGTTATTACCCTCTGAAGTCAAAGATTTTAGCAACAAGGGAAGCCCATTAAGGACAGTCAGTGGGTGCTCTGATATGTAGCTTTGATTCTCTTCAGCAGTGAAAATCTTTGTCCTCCAATTGTTAAAACAAATAAAATCAAAGTTGCTTGCTCTGACCCAGCAGGGCCCACCCCCAATAACAGGTCAATGTGAGGCTCTAAAGGCCTAGACCTTTGCCCCAACTTGAGATACAAGGCCATGCCAGTTCAGAGCCCCCCCCCCCCCCCCCCCCCCCCCCCCCGGGGATTTGCTGAGCTCTTCACCAAGACTACATCATGTTCCAGTTTCTCCCTTGGCCCAGTCCCGCTTCCTTCCCTTTGCTTCCACGGGTGGGTCCACAGAGCTCCCCCACTAATAACAATCCTGCATGCCATCTCCATCTCAGTGCCTACTTCCCCAGGAGCCCATTCTGCAACATTACAAATAACACCTGGACTTGTGATACCTGACATTCCACAACGTACATCTCATTGCTTTCTGATGAACTGGACCAGAGAAACTTAAAACTCCATAAACTATAAAATGTTAACACTGACATTGTTAGGCCAGTAGGGTTCCAGTGTGCAATGCCCATATCTTGTCTTTCCCATAACATTGACTCTCGTGAAGAGAGCTAATGGAATTGTAATCGGCTGCTTCTCATCTCCTGGTTCCCATTTGTTGGGTGAAGGAGGAAAGAGCAGAAATATGTGTGTTTGGGGCCAGATTGGGATGATAGAGAAGGAGGCCAGTTCAGAAAGGAAAGCCTGTGTATCATGGAATATTAATGAGTTGGGAGGGAGGGAGGGAGAAGTCAGTACAGGAAAGCAAATTATAAAAAGGATTTAGGAAATTACAGTCAGACATTTTTATAAGGAAAATCCCCTTACAAGCTGGCATTTCCCAGACACGGAATTATAGAATTACTGAAAAGATTGTTAATGTTTCTACTATTTAATCCTTAGGAGAGTAATTGAGTCCTTCCTCTGTGCCAACCCCCGTTTTACTGCCTCACCGATGATTTACATTGGTAGAATCTCCTGTTTCCTTTATCAACGAATCCTTGATGGGATTTTGTGGCTATAAAAGTCCTGCATAAAATGCTGATATGATAGATTTATCTTGAGCGATAGGCTACAGATTAGCTGTTAAGAAATAGGTAGATTATTAGAACTGGATTAAAGCAACTAAAAGTACTAGAGATAAAAGCCCCCAAAACAGTTGAAAACATAAAAGAAATATTTAAACAAACAGAGCTACATCACACTGGTGGTGTAAATTCAAAAGAGTTAATGACTCTCAGAACCTCCAAATTCGGTAGCAAATACTGTCAACTTGCTTGTGAGAGATGCAATTAATACAATCCTTTCTTTTATCTTTGAGTCAGTGTTCTAATTTCCCTGCAGGATCTGCCCATCCAGCTAAACTTGCTAAATATGAGGAAGGGGGCAAATCAACCCTTCATAGGTATTCTGTACAGGTTTAGTTCCCACAGTGTCCGTGGAAGTTAGCTTTGCCAACTGCATCCGCAGACGGGAAAACTGAGGCCCAGAGAGTTTCAGAAGACAGTCATTTTGACCTAGGAAATCAAAAGAGAAGTGGCAAGTGGCAGTGCTGGGATTTAAATCCCAGCCCCTCTGATAGCCAAGCCCATTCTGTAGAGTGCTGCCTGCCAGGAAAAGCTCACTGTAAGAGACAGTGCTCACACTCCACCAAAGGCTCTATCCTTCACAGGGATCTTGGGAAGGGGGAAAAGTTTGGGGTAGAGGAGGGAATGATTCTGCAAAGTATGTGTGTATGTGTGTGTGTTTTATGGATACTGAGCCTCTGCTCATAGATAGTTGCTGTAAAGCCCTTGGAAGAGAGCCGCTAATAAGGCAGGAATCTGTTGCATCCTTCTGATGCAGCCACTGCCTGACTTAAACCACAGTCACCCCACATAGGCAGGCAGGAGAACTTCACTCAGAGTCTGGAGATCGAGAGCTGTCTCAGCCTTCTCACTGAGAAGCTGTGGGACCATGGCCAAGTGGCCTGACAGTCCTGATAGTCCCCCAGTGGTGGTTGAGATTTCAGAGTATGCAACCACTTGGACTGGTCTCTCGTCCAGCTTCACCGCTTACTAGCCGTATGACTCTGGGAAAACGATTTCACTTCTCTGTCCCTCAGTTTCCTCATCTGTTAAATGAGTATAGGTGTATAGGTTCCTGCCTCATCATGCAGACTTATTGTGAAGAGTGAGCTGATAGACGGAAAACACTTAAAATGATGTGTGGCACATAGTAGGTGTTCTATCAAGAGTTAACTATTTTCACTATGGTTTTCAAAGCGGAAATAATAATCTTTAGATTCGGGACTAATGGTAACAATAAATGAGCTACTTCTAAACTGTAAGAGAAAATCTATACATTACAGTATATACAAAGGCTATGCAATCAAGCTATGCATGCTTGTGAATGTAAATATAACAAGTATAAATGTAACTCTGCAAGTATGTTATATGTTGCTGGTAGGTCCAAGCTTCTAATGTTTCCCCTGGTTACTTCTTCAGAGCATATCTAATTCTTTAGAGCTGCACACTAAGGGTTAGGGGCCTCTTGCACCCATGAAGCCCAGAACAATTTATTATGCTTTTCTCTGCCTTTGGAGTGCACTGGGTGTGAATATCTGGATGTTTATGGATCATACCAGTTTCTTTTCAGATTAGAAGGTATCTGTTGGGGCTGGTGGGTTGGAAATGAAGAAACACTTTCCTTTGTTAACTGAGTTTATCCAGCTTTAACAAATGACACAGGTGTTGGGAACGAATGAACCCCCCAAATATGAATGGAATAAATTTATGTAACTGTTAATGCATTTGTTTATTTAAACCTGTAGGAAACAAGCTAAACAAATTCAAGAGCAGCTGAAAGAACCACAAAATGGTAAAAACTACAGTCTCAAAGCATCCAGCACAATGGCAAAGTCAGAGAACTTGGTGAAGAATCATGTCCAGCTGCAGAGTGTAAGTGACCTGTCTATACATCTCTTCCCACATCCAAGTTCAGTGTTTCCAGTTCAGGGGTTTGGGGTGCTTGGGATCAGACATGTATATTTTTCAGGACTTTGTAGATTTCTCCTTAAGTTATTTTACTGTTCTCTGTGTGTTCTCTCTGTGTGTTCATCTACGTGTACGGGATGAAACAGAGAATACTTAAATCTCAGCCCTTGATTACAACCTGCAATATAAATCCATCTCTGGAAGCAAAAAGAGCTCCAGCTGTTTGTTCCATAATGACTTATTACGTTCTTACTGTGTCAGAAATTGTGCTGGGCGCCAGGGATACAATGCTTCCTACCTTAGGTAACATATCTGTGGTAAGGGGCACAGACCCCAGAACAGAGGAGTATGTGAGCTGAGATGGTTGACACTGCATACGTTTGAGAGGAGACCAAAGAGAGGGAGGGAGACGGGGAGGTGCAACATTCATCATATAATCAAAGAGCAAAGGGCAAGAGGCTAGGGAAAAAAACAGAAAGTAAAACCATGGAATCTCGAGAATGCATACTATATTCCAGCAACTCTAAGATAAGGGGTGCGAGAGAGGTCGAAGGTAAGACAGGTGGGAAGTGAGACTTGTATTCTCAGAGTCATTGCTTCCTAAGACCCGGCCTTAAATGGATACCAGAATTTGAAATGCAAGCTCTTTGAATCTTACATTCTTTCTAACGTTGTTTTAATCATTTCTGAGATAGATTGCAAAAACAATTAAGGACAAGCACATATCATCTAAGACACACTGAAATATTTCTCTCAGGGTAGCACTTCTTTGCCCCTGTATAAGATTGCACATCCAAATTCCGAGATACAAAAGGAAAGAACAAAGGCCATGGTATAAACCTAGGATTTGAGTATAATAGGCAATCACCCAGGACATATTCATGCCCCTCCCAATGCATAAATCACAGGGAATTTATACATCACTTGTGATTCTAAAAAATCATTACCCAAAAGTCACCATTATGCTATGCATAACAGATGTATTTAGATGTTTAATGTGGAATTCATAAATCAGAATTGCTTCCCAGCCAAATTTTGTTAAACTTGTAATCATAGTTATGTGGGGACTGCTCTCTGAAACAGAGGGAATGCTTCTCCTAATGACTTTTGGGTATTATCTCACTGCCGTAAAACATAGGCAGAGGTGGAGGCTTTTAAGTCCATAGCAAGTGGACCTGTTGAAGATAAACAAAACTAGCCACAAGTTATAATAGTAAGGGCAGATTTTAATCCGTAAGACTATTGCATTATGGAAGAAGGTCCAGCATGAGCTGAACTCAACTTCAGTTTGTACAGAGGTGACTGGTTGTTTTAAAGGGAGAATGAGGGGATGGCGGGGTGGGGTGTGTGTGTGTGTGTGTGTGTGTGTGTGTGAAGACAGTGGGGTCTTGACAGAGTAAGGGAAGTGAAGAATTACAGAGCTGGTCAGTGTGTATGCCAGTTGTGTCTGTTAGCCGGCAGTTACTTGAGTTTAGGACTCTGTACTTCCACAGAATGGGAGACACAGGTTCTTTCCTAATGATTATATTTCAAAGATGCAGCTTTCAGGTCCCTGAGAAAGAAACTCCCTTAGGAGTCTGTAGGAGTTATATATACATCTCAGAATGACAAAGGATGGTTTATAATTTTAAGTCCTTTTAAGGGTGGCCTTTCCTCAGGCATTGGCTAGAGCTAACAGCAAGTTCTTTTGTAGGCTTTGAGGTTTTTTTTTTTAAATTTTTTTTAATGTTTTTATTTATTTCTAGGAGAGAGAGAGACAGCGTGAGCAGGGGAGGGTCAGAGAGAGAGAGGGAGTCACTGACTGAAACAGGCTCCAGGCTCTGAGCTGGCAGTCAGCACAGAGCCCAATGCGGGGCTCGAACCCATGAACCGCAAGATCATGACCTAAGCGAAAGTCGGACACTTAACGGACTAAGCCACCCAGGCACCCCGAGTTTTTGTTTTTGTTTCTGTTTCTCCAGCAGGCATTTTAAGGAAGCTTAAGGCTATTCCAGGGGCAAAGCCTTGAACCATTAAAGACTATATTAGAGTTGACTCAAGTCTTTTAGTGTGGGGATGATTGAATGAAGTCATTTGTGCTGGGAATCTGAATTTTGATAGGCCAAAGATAACCCTAGGAGAAAAGAGGACTCAGAGGAGCCTGTCTAGAGTTTGGTCGGGAAGAGTCTCGGTCGGTCCCGATGGATTTTACAGGGATGCAGCCAGAGCGCACACACACAATTTTGTATCCTCCATTTTCACCAAACAGATGATCAATAGCATTTTCTGTCTGCTATATCCTCTCCACAAACTCATTTGGGAGATAGCATAATAGTCCACAAAGTGTCCA